ATGCATTTTATAAATCCATAAATATGATATGGAATTTTATAAATCCATAGATATGATAAATATATATTTATTCATATTGTCACCCTATGTTTACCTCAGTACTTTAATAATATCTGTATTTTAACATTAATATTCTACAGCAGTGTGTGTGAGGGGGGCAGGTTGTGTGGGGGGGTTCAGTGTATGTGTATGGGGGCAGTGTGTGTATGGGGGAGCAGTGTGTGTGTGTGTGTGTGTGTGTGTGTGTGTGTGTATGGGGGAGCTATTGTGTGGTATGGGGTCTGTGGGGGTAGGAGAATATATATATATATATATATATATATATATATATATATATATATATATATATATATATATATATATATATATATATATGTGTGTATATATTTTATTTTTTTAATTAAAAATAAAAAGTATGTCCCCTCTCCCTGCTTACATTTCCTGTAATCCCTGGTGGTGACAGTGAACTCTAGCAGCCTCAGGAGCTGCTAGAGTTCACTCTCGCAAGATTCGAAGCGTTGCCATGGTCCTTTCCCTCCCTTCCTGCCGGCTGCCAGCAAAGTGCTAACGGGCCGGAGAGGGAGATCTTTGATCTTCCCTCCGGTCCTGTAGAGCTGGAAGGGGAGAGCACAGTAATAGCACCGGGAAAATATCTTGTGGCTCCCATGTGTGCCCGCCGGCGCCGCGGCACACAGTTTGGGAACCGCTGCTCTACTGGATGTTATGAGTTCCACATCCTCATACATGAGTCTGAATTTGGGACTAACTTGTCAAACCCAAGACTGTTGGAAATAGGTTTGTTAAAAAAAAAAAAAATGTTTTGGGAGTTATTCATTGCTGTATTTTTTAAGAATGAACATACGGGCACATTTTCCTGATTGTGTTCGTGTGTTACAAAGATATTTTTGCTTGCTAAATGTAACTTCTAGGGAAGCATGTCAAACTCACGGCCCACAAGGACCATATTTGCGGCTCGGTGAGCCGCGAGTACATGCTGGTGTTATAGCAGAGTAGGCACCTGCTTTTCCCACATTGCAGGTGCCTACTCTACTAAAACTTACCCGGCCGGGGAGGAAGGGACGGTGGAAGCAGCGAGGGAGATCAGTGTTCCTGCTTCTCACTGCTCCCTCGAACGCGCCATCTGTAATGAAGCCGGGTGCTGGAATATGACGTCATATTCCGGCATCACTAAACCGCGCAAGGGAGCAGTGAGGAGCAGAAAGAAGGACCCCAGGGAGAGGCCCCACATGGGCTCCAAAAGGTAGGGAGCAATAAAGAAAAGAAAGTGTGTGTGTGTGTGTCTGTCTCTGTGTGTCTGTCCGTCAGCAAGTATGTGTGTGTGTCTGTCTGTGAGTGTGTGGGTGTCTGTCTGTCAGGGAGAATGTGTGGGTGTCTGTCAGTGTGTGTGTCTGTCTGTCAGCGAGTGTGTGTGTGTGTCAGTGTGCGTGTGTGTTTCTGTCTCTCAGTGAATATGTGTGTGTCAGTGGGAGGATCAGATTTGGCACAGGGTGGTATAGAGGGGGGTGCTGTGGTTTAGTAGAAGGGGGGACTGGGATTTAGTAGAGGGGGGTGCTGGGAGTTTTTTTATACTGTACTTTTTAAAATAAACCTATGAAAATGTAAGGGTTTTTTTTTGCGGCCCACATAAACTTAAACCTTGTTTATGTGGCCCGTGCCAGACTTTGAGTTTGACATTCTTGTTCTAGGGCAGGGGTAGGCAACCTACGGCACTCAAGGTGTCTTTACACGGCACTCAAGGCTGCCCGTCAGAGCCAAACAGGCTCTGGCCTATCAGGAGTCACAGTAAAACTTCAGATATCTGCTAATACGAAGAGGTGGTGAAGGACAATCCTCAATTTATGAATTGCAGCACATAGAGGAAGTTATCTCAGATCACCTCCTCCCAGCACTTGTGAATGGGAATCCACATTGTAGTATAGCAGCCTGCAGCTGCTGTTGCAGCTCCTGTCCTTGACCTGTACCTGGCCAGCCTGGTCCCCACTGGAACCGAGGGAAGCCACCCACACTGCTAGATATACACAGAAATGCAGAATAACCCTCCCCTCATAAAAATAATACGAACAGCCCACACACAAACATACACACAATCCGCACAAACGTAACCTGCTAACAATCCACATACATGCACACAACCCCACATGCAGCCTCTCACATGCAATACCCCAAACAGCCCCTCACATACGCACACTATTGTGACATTTCCATTCACACACACAATTCCACAAGCAGCCCTCATACACAGCCCACATTCATAGGTATCATACACGATACCATTAACTACTAATGAACATATACAATATAATAGCTCATATACACACAAATACAACAATACAAAAGCAATTACAGTAAAGATAACACAAGCAGAAGACGGCAACATACACACCTCAATTTAATATTGACACGGTATGGGACATCACAATCTTATATCGGCACAGTGCTGCTAAAAGGTTGCCTACCCCTGTTCTAGGGTATAGTTTGGCCAAGATATAATTTCATGCTTTAGTGGTTATGGATGCCATGAGTGCGCTGGTGCCCTTCTGATTGTAAGTATTCAAACCATTTTGGAAAGGTTCCACTCCCCACCTACCCTTCCTCTAGAAGAACAAGGAGCTCCTGCTTAGGAACTTATATTAGTTTTATTGAGGTAAGCCATGCAATGCATGATCAGCTCATTGTTTGAGAGCATCAACTGATCACTCTTGGCCAATGAACAAGACCCAGCTCGCTGTAGTGGTTATGGTGATTTGAGTGTTAATTTAAACTTCCTGGCAATGCGTGTTACAATATAGGCCAGTTGAGAACTTTAATAGGAAAATCCATGTCTGTGGAGGATCTGTACTTTCATTCCCCCTATATAATTCATTGGGAGGGGGCGTTCCCTCTCTTCCAGCTTGATTCCCACGCCAATGTGGTTAACCAAGTGAAAGGCTCCACAAAGATCTAAACAAATCAGTAGGGAAAATTACCTTTTGTTCATTTATTTACCAAGTACCATGACCATTTCATATCACTGAAGTGGTGATGGTGCTTGTATAAACATTTTAATGGAAGCTCCTTGCAGGAAGTTGTCATACTGTCCCTAAGTAGTTAGTGGGCTGTAGTGATAATGGTGCCTTTAAATTAGACAACGTGGTTGTACACTAAGGCTTTAGGTTGTACTCTAGCTTTTAGAATACTTTGTAAGCACAGCTATAGGGTTGTAGTTGAGTTCAGCGGAAGGATAAATGAAAAATATTCCTTAGAATAGATGTGATAAGTGTATGTTTATAGGAACCAGATTCCGTTATGGCAAAAGAATCACTATGTACTTATTACCTGACCAAAAAGTAAAACAAATAAATCACAAAAAGAACATGTGCCAAGAGCAATGCACCTCCTACATAAATGGTTACCTACCTAGTTTTTAATATATAATAACAAACGTGCTGAAACCCAGATATATAAAATGTATATATTTCGATTTATTAAAGGTGCTTTCTATGTACCAAAACAACTTTAGCTTAAATAAGCAGTTTTAGTGTATAGATCATACCCACAGTCTTGTCTCCCATTTAAGATTTAAATTATTCTGTTTATAGAGGCATAACCTCCCCTGGATGTAACTCATACAGCCTCCTTGCACACTTGCTGCAAGAGAGATCTAAATATTAAGCTTTATTGCACAACCTGTTTCATTTAGAATTCTTATCTCCTTGTTTATTAATTGCCTGCTAGATCATGTAGCAGTCTTTTGTGTGTGATTAAAGTTCAATTAGTAGAACAGGAGATAAAAACATTTAAAGTAAACACACTGTAAGATCTGATTCGAAAATGAAAAAAAATTTGTTTCATGCATACTGTGTCAGTCACAGCCAGGGGAGGTGTGGTTAGTGCTGCATAAACAGAAACAAAAGTGACTCCTATGAGGGAACATTCTATAAACCTAAACTGTTTCATTAAGCGAAAGTTGTTTTGGTGCTTTGGGTATCCCTTCAAAAATAGAAAACATTAGGGCTTATAAATTTGAAATATAATTTGTCAAAATTAAGGTATGAAGCTCCTATATGAGAGACACACTTCCTTTAATGAAGTTCAAAAGCCAAGATAAAGGAAAAAAGGTTATGAAAGAAAATAAGACATTCTAATTATTTTGTTTGTTTGTATCTATTCAGGTCGCTATGGTGGAGGTCCAGTTGGAAATGAAATATGAGTACCCACAACTGTTACTTATTGCTTTCAGTGCTTGTACAACAGTGCTTGTTGCAGTTCACCTCTTTGCACTACTGATCAGCACGTGCATATTGCCGAATGTAGAGGCTGTGAGCAACATCCACAACCTAAATTCTGTCAATGAATCCCCACATGACCGAATGCACCCTTACATCGAGCTGGCCTGGGGTTTCTCTACTGCCCTTGGGATACTTCTATTCCTTGCAGAGGTCGTTTTACTGTGCTGGATAAAATTTCTGCCAATAGACTCTCCATCTGTGCGTAATGAAACGGGCGCATCACAGAAAACACACGGAAATGCAGGGTGGCATTCGGCAATGGTTTCTACAATCATTATGGTACCAGTGGGCATCATCTTTGTCATATTCACAATTCACTTTTATCGTACTCTTGTAAGACATAAAACTGAGCGCCACCATCGGGAAATTGAGGAACTCCACAAATTAAAAGTGGAGCTTGATGGACATGATCGAGGTATAAATGTAGTGTGAATGGATCTTAGAACAAGGAAGTTAACGGCAGCTTATAATCTGCAGTAAGAATGTGTAATGGATTTATTTTCTCCTGCCTCAAGATTTGAGGTTACGAGGCAGACATGTCCTATACTGCTCATTATTCTTAAAGTCTAAAAAAAAAAAGAAGAAACAAAGTTGTATTTACAAATAGTTAGAAATACATTTTCTACAGACCAATACATTTCTCATTTAATATATTTCATTGGAACTTTAAAAAATAAATAAAAAATATAATAATAATAATAATAATAATATATTTATTTAAATGTTATGCACCTTAAAGCATCATTGTGCAATGTTAAGGTGTAGGAAAACAACTTTAGAATTCTCCTTAACATAAACATTGTGCCTTTTTATCCTATTATTGAACAGTTTCTTGTTATATGCTGAACCAAGTATAGGCAACATTTGGTGCTTTTTGGTAGCAGATCATACCCTGCCATACCCTGTACGTCGCTGTCACTTATGCGATATTCCACCTAATTGTGGGTCTGGAAGATCATGGTGAGACCTGGCTATTGCTGGACTCTTGTGTCTGGCAGTAGACCCTCCAAGGATGCCCAAGGCATCCAATCTCCGTAGCACTATACCACAGGGATCTTTACTATGGGATATCGTTTTTGTACAGGAATAATGTCCATGCAACCAGAATTCAGCAATAGGTTTCTAGAGTCTACCCTGGTTTTTGGATCACTGTGTAGGCTGTCAGTCATAGCATTCCAATACTTGTCTGCCAATGTTGAAGAGCTGTATGCAGTTATTGTGCTGGTACCCAATGTCATCAGCAGCGTGAAGCAGTCCACCAATAGTGATTAGTTAGCTCCTGTGTTGCTTGATTGTCCTGGAAACTAATCACAGGGATTACTGTCCGCTAAAGAAATGTGATCACTTTCAATGAGTCTTACAGCATGTTAGGGTTAGCTAATTAGCGTTAGGTAGGGTTAAAATTAATTAGCTGTGGGGTTAGCAAAGGCTAAGTTTAGTTCGGTTTAGCGAGGGCTAGCATGGACTAAGGCTACCTTGGGTTACACATAACATCAACGTTTAACTCTGGACAGTATGGTGACTCAGATATTGTCACTTCATCAAAGTGTCTCTGGGAAGCAAGCAAAAAAGCATGTATATAAGTTTCACCAAAACTAGCAAATATATACGTGTTGAGTATTGCTGTACTCGAGAGATGCTGGGGAATCCAAATCTGAAGTGTTTTTAGTAGTAGAACACACAAACCTGTGGCTTTCACCCTTAAAATTCAATATTTTTGTGAATGCAGCAGAAAATGATAAAAAGTGAATAGACTAAGAATGCAACATATTAAATATGTCATATAATCTTTTGCCAATGCTAGGATATGGTGGGGGGAAAAGTGCAGTTGAGGTCTGCTCTTTTTTTATTTAAATTTTTTTTTTTTTTTTTTAACTATAGTGACATGGGCCCACGAATTCAGTCTGAACACTGAAAATGTCTGACATTTGACCTTATAACTTCTCAAAAATCTGGCAGATGTCTACATGAGGTTATTGCTATACACAGGGGAAGTATACTCTTTAAACTAGTGGGCCATACACAGTCTGTAAAATTACGTACCCACAAAAATAAAAGGTGTGATAAACATAAAGAACTAAATGTACTGTAGTTGTTAATTTTACTGGTCGTTGATGATAAAATGGTTACATGAAATATGTCAAAATATTCTTGACTAAATACCCTGGGAAGGTCTTCTTTCTATAAATGTATACTTTTGTACACCTGTTCTGCATTCTGTGACTGTTAGTGTAAAGGTAACAGCAGATCACATTTTTCAAAGGTTTAGCTGTAAAAATGAATTCACTACTTGCAATATATATATCTGACAATGTCCAAAAATGATTTAATTATTAGACCTATAAGGATTTTTAACAATCAGGACTAAGTGAATGCATTCTGAATTGTTTTTCTTTAGTAGCACTGCTTCTGTAGAAATTACTATAAGCAAAACTATGAAAAAAATGTTTTTATTTAAAAATTTTGTTCCCATTTTTATTTTATTTATATTTAATTTTGTGTTATGTATCCATATAGGTTATCAGATGGGTATCTCTAAAAAAAAAAACACAAAAAACCCCCCAAAAAACGAGAGAGTGAGAGAGAGTGCACTTTAAATTATATTGCCATGTACACAAAAAAGTGCCAAAAAGGCTTTGGTCACTAACGGACAAAATCTCAGAAACATTTTGGTCTTGGTCTTGGGATTAATGACTACTGTTTGTGGTTTTCAGTTACTGTTCATGATGATTTTTATATTTATGTTCAAGGACATGGTAGATATGTCTCCCCCTATGGTTGCACTCAAAAAAAATAATAAAAGGTCACAGGTTTTTGTTTTTTTTATCAGATCCTGTTAACCTTTGCATCCTGTTTGTGAACTACACTCAATTACACTTAAATTAAAACACATCGTATAGAAAAAAGAGAATTTGAATACGTAAGAATTTGAATATGACGATCCACTTTAAACTGCAATTTGATGTATTTAATATTTATGAAGACAATCCTTTGTTTGTCAGTAGATTGTCTCTACACCAAAATGCAATGCTTAAAGGGACACTGTAGGCACCCAGACCACTTCAGCTCATTGAAGTGGTCTGCGTGTTGTGTCCCTTTTGTTAACATTGTAACTCTAAGTCTGCCCTCTGTGGCTGTCTAACAGACCGCCACTAGAGGGCTTCCGGAATCCAAATGGACTTTTGGTCCGTTATCTAACGTTGGACGTACTTACGGACCTCCAGCGACAGATTTTCCCCATAGGAAAGCATTGAATAATACTTTCCTATGGGGAAGTCTAATGCCGCGCATGCGCACAGGTCTTCCCCGCTGGCTGACGTCGACGGGGGAGGAGCGTGGGTTCTGGATTCAGGTAAGTGGCTGAAGGGGTTTTAGCCCCTTCTACCCTTCGAGAGGGGGGCCCCGAGGGAGGGGGCACTTCAGGAGCCTATAGTGCCAGGAAAACAGGTTTGTTTTCCTGGCACTATAGGATCCCTTTAACACTGTAACCGATGGTTTCTCCATCAGTTGTAATGAGTTGACAACCAGGTTGCAAAATTTATACCAAGGCAGCCAAGTTAGAGAAATTCTAAAGATCAAATGATTTAGAGTTACATTTTCATTGCTACTTTGGCTGCATGATAACTTAAAGGAACACTAATGTCACCTAAATTACTTTAGCTAAATAAAACAGTTTTAGTGTATAGATCATTCCCCTGCAATTTCACTGCTCAATTCACTGTCATTTAGGAGTTAAATCACTTTGTTTCTGTTTATGCAGCCCTTGCCACACCTCCCCTGGCTATGATTGACAGAGCCTGCATGAAAAAAAAACTGGTTTCACTTTCAAACAGATGTAATTTACCTTAACTAATTGTATCTCAATCTCTAAATTGAACTTTAATCACATACAGGAGGCTCTTGCAGGGTCTAGCAAGCTATTAACATAGCAGGGGATAAAATCTTAATTAAACAGAACTTGCAATAAAGAAAGCCTAAATAGGGCTCTCTTTACAGGAAGTGTTTATGGAAGGCTGTGCAAGTCACAAGCAGGGAGGTGTGACTAGGGTTCATAAACAAAGGGATTTAACTCCTAAATGGCAGAGGATTGAGCAGTGAGGCTGCAGGGGCATGTTCTATACACCAAAACTGCTTCATTAAGCTAAAGTTGTTCAGGTGACTATAGTGTCCCTTTAATGATGGTTGAGCATCTTGGCCATTGTAGTTCACAAACCTTTTTGGATGCCGAGAGGATCCGTCACTGCTCTTTTAATTTGCGCAATCCCCTGTTCAATTTTTTTAAAATGATGCTCTTATGCATTTGCAATCATGCGTGTCCTGGCCATAGTTTTGTTTTGCTTTCCTTTGAAATGAACATTAAGATCTTTCAAAGTTAATTTACCAACTTTACTGCATTCAGAGTGGGTGAAACAGGCTTTAAAACTACCATACTAGCCCACACACAACAGAAAAGCTTGAACGTGCAAACTACACTGAACAAAATTATAAACACAACACTTGTTTTTGTCCCCATTTTTCACGAACTGAACTCAAAGATCTAAGACTTTTTTTCTATGTACACAAAAGGCCTATTTCTCTTAAATATTGTTCACAAATCTGTCTAAATCTGTGTTAGTGAGCACTTCTCCTTTGCCGAGATAAGCCATCCACCTCACAGGCCACTCTAAAATTTGCAGTTTTATCACACAGCACAATGCTACAGATGTTGCAAGTTTTGAGGGAGCGTGCAATTGGCATGCTGACTGCAGGAAACTTAAATTGACACTATAACTTCAAAAATTGGAAAACTAAAATTGACATTTTTGTAAGTTGACCCTATAACTTCTCAAAAATCAGGTCTGTGTGTGGGTTGTTGCTGCACCATGGTAATATAAGGCATTTTAAAAACCAGGACTAATTACTTATTATATATTTTGACTTTTATTTAATTTTTTTGGTTGCACTAGTTAAATAGAAATTATTGTGAGCAAAACTACGGAAAAAAATCAATTTCCTTTTTTTTTCTAATTTTAAATATTTTATTCATAAGTAATCTTGCAATATGCATACATTAACAGTATCAGAAGAATATGATGCATAATATGCATGGGTGTGCGTATTGAGAAAGCAGAAACATACAGTGACACAAACAGTGCAAAAAAGGCCTCAGTCACAAACGCACAGTTTTTGGATAAGCGAGGTTAAAGTGTAAGCATGAAAAAACATTTTTTCTTTTAGTTCTTATTTCTTGCTATATTTGTCTATTTGCCTTTGTAGATATTCATCTTAAAAATAACACAGACATGGGTGTTTTCATTATATTTATATCTTGTTTTTACTCTTTGTGGGGTTTCTTTTAGATTTGTGAATACAAACAATACCATGAGAGAGAAAATGACTGTTCACCGTCCAAGTTCTAAATAGTGGAGGCAAAGACAATAATTCCGCCATACATAGCAACACAAATGCCTACACTCTATTAAACATATTAAAAAAAAAATGTAAGGTTTTATTTTAGCTAAAGCACACAAACTAGTCCGTTACAGTCAACATGACCATGAATGGGGAACTTTAGATACAGAGATACAATTTTGAATGCAAAGTAAGACATACTATTCAAATGTCTGAAATTTAAACTTAACACGAGACTAGCTTTTTAGTGAATGAACACAACTTTTTATTTATATTGTCTTAACATATGTTACCTGCTCCTCTGTCATATGCAGTCTTTTTTTTATTATTATTGTTTTTTTATTTTGATTTATTTACTCCGTTGTCAAAATGTTTCTGGTAAATATAATAGTGGAATTGGTAGATATTTCACCTACTCCAGTCACTTGCTGATGCTCAGATTTGTGCTTTACTTTTTTACATGAGGTTTACAAAGTATTGAAAGTGATACATTATGTGTTTTAAATGGTTACTCTAAGCATCAGAACTACTATAGCCTGCCGCAGCCCGATTGCCTGGTAAATGGTTTAGTAATAGTTTGCCTCTCTTTCCTGGGTCCCCACAAGGCTCTTATGTTCCCTGGTAGTCCAATGACATGATGGTTGGTTGCAAAGTGTCTGCTGACTGCTCTCAGCCAATGACTGTCATTCTGTGCAACTAAAGTTGCACAGAATTGACATTAGCCAGCGTGGTACTCTAGTTCTGGGTTGGCTGATGATACCTCTATGACGTTACCAGAGGTGGAGTTACACCTACAGCAGCAGAGGAGTTAATCTCTATATGTGCAGGGTTTCATATTGAAAAGCTGTACGTCCAGAATCCAGGCACCATGACCACTTCAAATCAATGGAGTGGTCATGGTGCTTGGAGTAACCCTGTTGCTATATATTATGGGGTCTAAAAATAACAAACGCTTGAAGGAGATTCAGAGACCTGGCAAGGATTTTCAGGTGGAAAGTTATTTTGGAATGTTTCATCTGTAGACGTTATAACACCGACAATGTTAGGTGTCTGTTCATATGTGAATCTCCTTCCTCATTGTCTGTAGTTCAATGTTTGCCTTTTAATATTATGAAATAGATTTCTCGGTAACAATCACATTAATTTTGAATAAACCCATTTGCCTTGCCCTCTTTGAGCAGATGATACAGTTTGCAACCCATTCTGGTATCAGCTTTTACCTTACTCACCGAACCAAACTGCTTAATTGTACATTTAAGATGTTATGTAAGTGGGAGCTAATGCATTCATACCTTCAAACAGTTTATTCCAACACATTGTTTCAAACCTTGGTCTGCTAAGTTCTTCAGAGAATAATAAAAAAAAAACGCACAAGTGCATCGCCTACATAAGTGCGCCTGCTTTTGATGTCCTTATTAACAGTGAAGCTCTGAACTTTACTGGTACGTTATTTTAGTACATATTAAAGTTGATTGACCTGCAATAGTCTGGCTTGACAAAAATTTCCAAAATTTGCTAAAATGTCAGAAACCACAATTTTTTTTTTTAAAGATGTCAGTTTCTGGAATTTTAAAACTACTTTTTGAAATATTCCTGGACAAGGTCTACCTTTAATATTTTTGTGCATTTAAAAAATAATATATATATATTATGTTTAGAGTTTTGCTATTACCAAATATGCACATTCCTGATGGATATAAAGTCATACTTGCAATGTATATATGCTGTGTATTTCTCTCTTGATGCATCTATCAATATAATGTCTCATTTTTATTATTGGAATTTTGCACAGATTGTATTTTTAATTGTTCCAGTGGTTGTATAATGGGTATTACTGTTTTTACATGTTCGATGTTATATTATGCTTATTTAAAGAAGACATTATTGTACTCTTTTTTTCTTCCTATGTTTTTTTTTTCATTGTTGGAAGTTAGTGCCTATGCATATATAGCACTTACAAGTTTATTAATTTCTGCATTAAAACCTGAAAAATTGTATTCACATCTGTTGATGACTCAGTGCTGTTTTTAGTACATTTGAAAGCCACATATAACTATAATTCCAATGATGCCTCTAGTTGTAGCACATCTTTTAACTGGCAGTATGCATGGGTAATTATTAAAAGGGGAACTTGGAAGTGACCCCATTTTTTAATGTATGATATTGATAATTAATAAAAGATTTGCAAAAAAATGTAAAACACTTAAAATAAAACGTACTTTTAAGGTTTCTGAATTTTGTGCTATCCCCTAGATATTATAGCAATCAACCTTTAGATCTAACTTTCCCAGGAAGCTAACCGTTCTGCCCACGTAGTCTTGACGGTTGGACAAATTTAACCCATCGCTACAAGTGTAGAAGTGCAGACTAGATACTAGTCATGACCAACCAGGGCACTGAGGGAGGCATCACAAGTGATGTCCAGATGTCCATTCCATCACCAGTAGATTTCAAAAGCACTTTGCCAGTCTGTGGTTTGAAGTTTCTACTTATGAAGGCTGTCAACTGAACTACATCTCCCAGAAGCATTTACTGTTCATGCAAATATTTTACAGAAAGGCTGCTAATTATTCAGGGCTAATTTTTAGGTCAAAAGTTTTAAATTGCATAAACATTGTTTTGGTACATGGAGTGTCGCTACACAATTATACCCATAATATTTGTTGTACTGCTGTTGTATTAATTGTATTTTTCTACTAAAGCAGGTTGCTATTTTTTTTTTTGCATAGTAAAATGTTTCACCTTATTTTAATTGTATGGTTTTTTTTTAATTTCCAATTTATTTTGTTGTGCAAAATGTGTGGAATATTTTAACTAGGGCCTGTGCAAGGATTTTTGGCAAGACAAGTGAAGATGCATTGTGCTGCCCCCACCTCCCCCCAGTGCATCTTCACTTGTGTGTTTCTTAATCCCACTTTTGAATTTCTCGTCTCTTTTGTGTTTCTTAGCCCACTTCATTGTCTTATACCTCCCTTAAATGTATCTTATTCTTTATTTACCCCTTTGTGTGTCTCTTACAAACCCCCGTGTCTCTTACTCCACCCTCTTTGTGTGTCTCTTACTTCTTTCCAGCCCCGTTGAGTGTCTTACTGCCCTAGCCTCGTTGTGTATGTCTCTTTCTCCCCTCCTGCCTCTTTGTCTCTCACTCACTCTTCTCTTCCCCAGCCCATCTGTGTGTCTTTCTCCCCCAGCCCTTTTTGTGTGTCTTTCTCCCCCAGCCCTTTTTGTGTTTCTGTTTCTCCCCTTCACCAGCTCTGCTTGTGTGTCTCTTTCTACCCCAGCACCTCTGTGTGTGTCTCTCCTCCCCCAGCTTCTCTCCCCCCAGCTTCTCTGTGTGTAATTTTTCACCTTCCCAACCCACCTGTGTGTCTCTTCCTCCACCCACTGGCCCCTCTTTATGTCTCTACCCCCAGCATCTCTGTGTCTCTTTCTTCCCATCCCTTCTATTTGTCTCTTTCTCCATCCAATCACATTTATGTATTTTTCCCCAGCCCTTCCGTGTGTCTCTTCTTTTCCCCTTCCACAGCCCCTCTGTATTTCTTTATCCCCTCAGCCCCTTTTGTGTTTCTCCATTTTGACTTTCCCAGCTCCTATTGTGGGTCTCTTTCTCCCCCTCCAGCCCTTCTGTATGTCTCTTTCTCCCTCCCAGCCCATCTGTGTGTCCTTTTCTCCCCTTTACCAGGCCCTCTGTGGGTTTCTTCCCCACCAGTCCCTTTTGTGAGTCTCTTCCGCTCACCCCCTCCCTTTGTTGTCTCTCCCCTCCTGGTGTGCCTCCTTACCTTTCCTTTGTAGTGTGGCTGCGCGGACCATGATAGAGGATCTTCTACCTGGTCTGACATGAAACTGCACACTGCTCCCAGCCAGCATTTCCTGTCTGACCGGGCCACGCTACATTAAATGACTGGCAGCAGCAGGAGCGCATTCCTGCTGGTCACTCAGGCATTGTGCACTAAGGCAGCCACCTGTGCCGACTTATGGTTGCACCAGCCCAGTCTTTAAACCTATAGTGGTTCTTTTTGTGTTCACTTTTCCTGCTTACAGTTCAAACAATTTTTAACGTATCATAAATATAAATGATGTATGGCAGTGGTCCCCAAACTTTTTAGGTTCAAGGTGCCCTTAATATTTAAATATTTTTCCAAAATGTCTAGGCTGTATATCTGTACAGCGCTGCGGCATTTACTGGCGCAATAGTGTAATGTACAGTGTTGGTGTTTAAAGGGGTGCTTGTATATAGTTATTGTGTTTTAATACAGGGGTATGTTTATATGTAATGTTTGCGTTTGATTGCAGGTATGTGTCTGAATGTAATGTTCACTTTTAAATGCGGATGTACATGTGTGTGAAGTATTTGTGATTGAGTGAATGGGTGTGTTTGTGTATCCTTTTGGAGTTTGAATGCAGGGATGTGTTTCTATGTAATATTTGTGTTAGATTGCAGGAGTGTGCTTGTATGTTGTGCTAGTGGTTGACTGCTTAAATGTATGCACATACACTACCACATACATACATGAATACTTACACAGATATTCATGCACATTAACACACAGATACATATAAATACCAACACATACACATACACACACACTCATTACACATGCACACACTTGTACACATATACACACACACACTCATACATACACTCTCACTTGTACACATACACACACACGTGCTATTTTTTATATCTCCATCCACCCACCCACCTGGTATCTTACCTTATGTGTCCAGTAGGGTGGATTGGAGTCCTGCTGGCTTGTGTAAGTGAGGGGTCTGGAGCAACTTCTGCGGTGCTCCTTTCCCCTCATGCTGTGGCTGCTTCCTCTCCCTCCTGCGCTGCCTCCCTGCGTGATGCTTGGAGGAAGTGACAGGCTGACATTAAAGGACCGCGGCACTTGACCAGGCCTCTGTTAAGCAGTAATGTTTCCCCGGTGCTATAATCATAGCACAGGGGAAATATTCCGCGGCACCCCTGTGGCACACAGTTTGGGAACCGCTGATGTAAGACATTGCAAAAGGAACTATAAAACTAGAAAAGCTACAATTTCTGGGGAAATTGTGTGAAGTGTTCTTGCCTCCACCAGTAGTCTACAACTGGAGTGGGCGGAGTAACTGTTATCATTTATATAGCACATTTAATTGCAACGTTGTTGCACAGTTACATTAAACCATACATTTATAAAAACATTAGCAGGTGTTCAAAAGGCCCTGTCTATGACATCACTTGCTGCTGCAGCCTGACACAGGTCAGAGTATTTTGGCGGTTGCCATCTTCAAACGGTCGTATTTTAAAAACTATAAATCCTACAGCGAAGAGCTTTATATTGTGAGAATCACAAGACCCAGACCTACATTTTGATGCATAGTATGTCTCTGAAGTATTAAAGATGAAGGCACAGTCGCAGTTTAGAAATTGCACTTCAAATTTGAGCTTTGTAGAGTGAAGTTTCAATGAATGTCAATGGACGGCGTTAGTTGCAAACAAATGATTATATTGTGACAACTATCAGGACTATGGCTTAGCCGTTGACATGTTTAGTGGCAGCAGGGATAGCTGAACGTTTTGATATAAGATTTGTGTAGGTGGGCCTGAAAATAAGAGAGTGGTGGCAGTTTAGAAATCATGTCCTGATTTTTCAGCTTTTGCCAGCTCCCACTCTAGCTTTGCCATTCATTCCTATGGGACAAATTTCGCCACAAGAACGACGATATTCCGTGAACCATTCGGCGAAACGTTCCACAAAGTAATAGCAATCCGATCGGGAACAATCTGCACGTTTTGGTAAATTTTTGTCTATGTAGTGTAAAAACTGTGTGAGGAGTTAGGGTGGCAAATTTGGCTATAATAAGAATAAGAATATATATGTGAGATAACATTAAGTGGTCTTGCTATGCAAGAACACTTAATAAATACTTACCTCTTCTTCAGATCTGTAGCAACTGCCATGATGTCATAAGTTTGGGACACCTACTTCCCATCTACCTCCTATCAGGTTGTCCCTGGAAGCACATTAAGTGTTTTATAAAGCACGGTGCATTTGCACATGCTGGTTTCATTAATAGTGTATCAGCAGATAAACAGATTGAGTGTATTAGCAGGTAATCGGATTGATGTTTGCTACTTTGTTAAACTTGTAATCTCACACTTCTAGAGGATTATAACAGCAAATACAGTGCTCACACATGCATTTAACTCCAGCAGTTTCGCCCTAGCATAGCTGAATGAAATTCTGTCTAGTTGGATGTTGCCTATGTAATAAGAGAAAGTACACAAGTGTCCATAGGATAAAAATCCAATGGGCACAAAAGTTTCCTTGAAAAATATAAAGCTAATATTAATGTTAAAAAACTATGAATTGTATTAATTGTAAGGAGAAAAGACATACAGCATAAACCCATTAAAAAGAGCCACAATCAAATAAAGGCTCTATATAAAGATACATTTGGGGAGACTTTATATTGGACAGGATGGGATGTTGGCTGAGGATGATAGGGGTGGGAGTTGCCTATGTATGCAATTATAGGTTAAAAATAAAAAATACTGACGTCTTAAGAAAATTCTACCTATGGGGTTATTCCCTAAACACTAGATTTTATCTGAATGGACAAAATCAAGTTTAAAAAAATGACTTTCTGACTGTATTGGTAATTCGCAGACTTACTAAAGAAAAATGCACTCAAGATATGGTCAGTCTGACTGATTCTGTCAAATTTGTGTTGAAAATGACAAATATCCTGTCTGAACCAATTTACAACACTGTTAAATCGGAGATTTAACAATGACTACTGCAGTAGAAGAGAAATCGACTGCAATTTGCAAATTATTATTCACTTGCTTTTTGCAAGTGAATTGATACACTGAGCAGCCACGACAATAAAACCACCAACAGGTGTAAAAGGAATAACATTGATTATATCGTTACAATGGCATCTGTCAAGGGGTGGGATATAATGGGCAGCAAGTGAAAAGTCAGTTCTTGAATTTCATGTGTTGGAAGCAGGAAAAATGGGCAAGCAAAAAGATCTGAGTGACTTTGACAAGGGACAAATAGTGATGGCTATAGGGCTGGGTCAGAGCATTCCCAAAATGGCATGTCTTGTGGGGTATGTGCATTATGCAGTCAGGGCCGCCATCAGGGCATGACAACCATAACGGTTGTCATGGGCCCGGTGGTCCTGGGGGGCCCGGACTGCTTAGGTCGACCCAGGCCCCACATTCAGTGGCGTACATACCAGGGTCGCAGGTGGCCTGGCCGCCCTGGGACCCGATATGTACCCACTGTGGCCAGCCTCTTCTCCTGGGGGGCCCAGCAGCCGGTCACCTCAGGGCCCCCCAGAGGCTGGCCCTGGTGTCACCCGGCGAGCGGGCTGGCGGGCGCGCGATGGAGCACTGTCCCCTGAGTGCTTCCTCTTCAGCTCCCTCGCTCACCACACTGATGCCGGAGCCGGAAGATGAGATCATATTCCGGCTCCAGCATCAGTACGCGGCGCGCAAGGGAGCTGAACAGGAAGCACTCAGGGGAGAGTGCTCCCTCACGCGCCCACCAGCCAGCCAGCCAGCCCGCAGGACCGGCCGCCGGGTGACACCACTGGACCCCAGGGAATCCCCTCAGCACTCCCAAAGGGGGGATGAAATTAAAATAAGAAAAAAACGTGTGTGTTAGTGTGTCAGT